GCGCTGAGCAGTTAGCTAGCGGCAGTGTTCTTCTGCAGATGTCAATAAACGGCTGTGCTCCCTGGCTAGCTCACGGGAAGCAAGACCAAACAACACCTCAGTCTCCTCCTTGTCTGAGCTCGCCACAATATTAAACATATCAGGTTCCCATAAGGAGGATCCTGTGCTAACGGCTGTCTAAATGACTCGGGTAAAGTTTGTAGCATACACGCTTGTTGTTTTTGTCTGCTTCCACTTGTCTTTGCATTAGGATGATGTCAGCGTAAATGTGCAGTCATATTCTTGTGTTCCCACTAGCGCTGTCAGCGTTAATCTCGTTGAAATGACGTTAACGCCACAACACGGCAAATCTCCGTTAACGAGCTACCCCTGCGTGGGGCTAGACGGCTAACACGTTAACGAGCTAACTGCGGGCTAACACACTAGTTCCCACCCATGTAATTGAGCATTGCGTGGCACATCCAACATACTGTTTTACTTTAGTCCATGACGCGCTTACCTTCAGGGTCATACGTCACAGGAAAACCAAAATAATTCCAAACGCCAGATCTGAATGAGGGTGGTCCATGTTGTAAGGAGAGCTTAACTTCTGTCTCGCTAGCTTGCCCTGTATGGAACGCCAGGACTGCCATAATGAATTAATTAAATACACCATTAAATAATTAATTTAATGTGTCAATAATTAATTAAAATGTGAAATACATAAATAATTAATTAAATGTGTCAATAAATAATTAATTAAATGTGTCAATAATTAATTAATTACATGTGTCATAACTATTTATTTAATTAATTAATTCCAATTTTAATTAATTATTGCCACATTTAATTAATTATTTAATGGTGTATTTAATTAATTCATTATGGCAGTCCTGGCGTTCCATAGCCCTGCTCTCTTCCTTCTGATGATGCTGTCTGTGTTGAACACTCAGTGGATCTGCGCTGGACAGTGCAGCCTAGGCGGAGTAGTCGAACGCAGATTCACTGAGCGCTCAACACAGACAGCATCGTCAGAAGGAAAAGTTGATCAAATAAATTGCAAATTTTGTATTGTTCGATACATATGCGTACTGAACCGAAAGCACTGTATCGAACGGTTCAATATCTATACGAGTATCGTTGCACCCCTAGTATTCAGATGTGACAGCTGCTGTTATCTGTAGTCTAATACCCCTCTTATTATCTTAGCTAAACCATGTGACATCATTTCATGGCCATAAACATTTTATTAGAACAGCATCACTGACCCTTGAGATTAGTGCATGTGTGTGCATTATGTATACTATTCTTGGACTACTACAGGTCCATGACAGGGTTCCTGTTGTTTGTTTTCTTTATTTAATCTGATGTATGAAAAAAACAGAATTAAAAGATGATTATGGCGAATCTTTATCTTAGTACTTATGGTGAGAAACTTGAGTTTTTAGTATCAGAAAATAAATCCTGTATGAATTCTGTGAAATGTGTGTATATGTTTATTTACATCGCATGATAACAGTTTATCTTCAGCTGCAGTTTAAAACAGTTTATTATCTCCTTTAAACTCCTGTAAACTCTCCAGTTACATGAAAGAACTGCTCAATTAGTTCACTTTGATCAATGAAAGCTAAAATGATTAATCTGCAGTAAAAATCACATTTTATACTCAACTTTATGCGCATGTTAAATTCTGATTGTGAGTCTTAATGCCCAGCCGCAGATAGAGCACACAGTTATTTAAAACCCTGTTTAACATGTGAACACTGGACAAATGTGCACCACTGTGTCCCTATTTGTCATATTTTGGTTCATGTTTTTCTATTGGACTTGTGTGCAAAAATGTTTATCTGAATACAGTAAGAATTGTTTTATCAAATTCATGCATTTTTTCCTGTTTCATTTGATTATCTAGAACTATTTAAAATCTGAAGCTAAATTTGTGTGGCATAATTTCATAATGATATAATTTATGTGCATAGACAATTGTTCACTTTATTTGAATGCTTCAGTTTGATTTTATTCAGGAAAAGATGGCCAAAAGCCAATGCATCACAGAAAACACAGGGCGTAAGAGATTACAGAAGACTCGTATCGATCACAATACGGCAGATGACCGAGAGATAAAATTATTCTTTGTCAAATTTCACATTATAGGACACATAATAGCCATTGTTGTACATGTAGAGTTTCTGGTCGGTGGGGTTGTAGTCCAGGTTGGTGTATTTGTCCTGGAACTTCTGGAACTGAATGCTGAGGTGTTTCTCCTCCTTGGTCTTCGTGTCAAATGCGTAGTAGATCTCCTCTGTGGCAACATCCACTGACCTGGTGGCATACATAACTCCACAGGCCATGAAAGAATTACCCACCATCTCCTTAAACACACCAGTATTCCACTGATCTTCAACACCAAAAGATTTTTCTTCTATCTTAGCAATGACAATTTTCCCTTTGCTTGCCTCTGAAGCATACATTACCCACATTCCATTTTCATCAGCTGCAAAGTCTAAGAACTGACTGGCTGAGTAACTGTAAGAGAACTTTGAACTAGCGGCTGAGATCACTCTGTAGTCATATGTGGAACTGGTCAGGTTCAGTTTGGCCATACTGAGAGGTGAGTTGCGCTGATAGTATAGGCTGTTACCGTGAACAATAAAATTGCTCCCAAGCCCTGCCCACCCGTTTGGTGTGCGATGGTGTTTGAATGCAGACCTCAGAATCAGCTTATCATAGTTAGAGTACAAGTAAAAGTCACTGATTGAAGGGGAGCTGTATGCACCAAAGAAGTACATGGACTCAGAACCTCGAAGAGGTTTGGAGTCTTTTCCCCAGCCCCCATAAATGGAACCTGGGGTCAGATGAGCATTCAGCTGAAGCACCATTGGCTTGCCGAGGGCCAAGATTCCCGTGTGATTGCAGTTACCTGAAGAGAAAAATAAGCATGTTTAAAATTATTAGTAATGTCAAGACCGTACACCAGCGTTAATCCAGCCAAGGCAGTGGCCTTACCAATATCTGGATTGATGAGCTCCTGCTCCTTCTGGCAGTCCTCCAGCTTCTTCTGCAGCTTAGCCAGCTCAATGCGGAACACCGCCAGGTTGCTCTCATCATAACTCTCCAGTTGGTTCACAATGAGGGTCATGTTGTGGATCTACAAAGCACAGAAAGACAGACACATAAATTAGGTGATCTTAAAAATAAGTAATTTGCATGTAAGTTCAAACGCAGTTTTTACCTCAGTGTACAGGCTGTCAAATATGGGTGAGGAGGAGTTGAGAGAGTTTTTGAGCTGAGATACCAGAGCCTCAAATTCTCTCAGCTCAATCCTGAGCAGCTCAAAGTCCAGTTTGATGTATTTGTCAGGACTGCTTTCCAGTATGTTCACTCTAATTGTCAGCTCAGTTAGGTCCTGCAGGTAGACCGCCAGCTTAGCCTCAAAGCCCACTATCTGGAAGGGTGGAAAAAAAGCAATGTTAATGTCTTACTACAGCATATGCTTTCAAATGTCACATAATTATTTAGTCCTACTGCACCTTGTTCATTTGGATTTCCACTTCCAACATCAGATCTTTAGTGACTTCTTGCATGTGCTCAACCCGGTCAGCAGGGAAGGTTGTGTCAGGCAGAAAAACATGGCAAACACACTGACCTGACTCACTCACTGATGCCGTTACATTTCCAGACTCCCAGTCCTCCACTGGCTAAAATTAAAAAAACAAACAAACAAACAAACAAAAAAACATTAAAGAGACATAACTAATCACTGTGCCTGCATGCTTTATTAGAAAAGTAAAGGCACTTACAATCCAGGCCAAAACAGGGCTGAGGGCTGGCAGGAGCAGCAGCAGAAGAGCTGGCAACATTGTGTCTCTGTTCATCTCTCAAAGGTTTTCTCCGTGGCTTTCTCAGAGTGTTTTTAAAGGTAGCTCTTATCAGACCATCTCAAACACCTTCTCTCTTCACAAATTTATTATCTTAGTCCAACATACACTCAGGCATTGTATTTGTTTGCTTATGACAAGCACAGAGGAATCTGCCACGTCACGTTTAATACAAATGTGGGGTGCGGATGAGAAGCACAGCATGTGTTGCTGCTGTGTTGTTATGTTTATGACCTGACAATTTGGACAAGTATTCATTCTATGATCCTGAGTCCTGTTTGCACAAAGGCAAACACAACTTTTTTTAGGAGTAGATTGCTGTAAGTCATAAAGGTTTTTTAGGACATCGTCCTAAAAGTGTGAAGTCACAAGTCCATTAAAATGGAGCAACTTATACTTCTCCATCTATGCCAGTAATTGCAAGTGACTTGGGTGGAGTTTTTGAACACCGTAGTTTGTGGAAACGAAGCGTTTTGCCACAAAGAACTTTGAATAAAATGCTGACTCAGCTCAATAAAATCACTATGTTTGACAAACTTCTCTGAATCAAAATGCTGCTTTAAAGATTTCCTCATTAAATAGCATTAGAGTTTAAATGTATTAATAAAAGGCAGATGATACTCGAATGCATTTTCTTGTGAAAAGCTGACTGTGAGTGATTGAAAATCAATAAAGAAGGCAGTAATTGAAGACTGTAAACAAGCAGAGACAAGTGATAAAGCCACTGCTCTCATGACACAAACCTCTGAGGGCAGAAGGACTCACTGGATCATTAGATGAAGTATGTGCGAATCAGTCAATTTGGGCTTTACAGTTACCAAATGTACCAAGTCTACCAAAAGTATTTTCTATATCAGACATGATGACGTCACTCAAAGAAAGAATTTCAAGTAACTGAAGCACTTTGGATTTAGTTTTTTTTTCTGTAACAATTTTAAATGTTTGCCCTCATTAAGGTCTTTTTTGTTGGACAGCTATGGGAGATGTTGCCTGTTAGTGTGTGGTAGCACCTCACTGAGAACTAGTTCACTCTTTGAACTAAATGATTTCTGCCTTTCTTGCTTTGACACACAAACATATTTATGGGGCTTTTATTTATTTGTTTGTTTGTTTATGTATTTCACATATTTTTGAACTCTTAAATATGTTTTCACAAAAAACCACCCTGCTATTTGTCATATTAGAAAAACTGAAAAACCTGAGGGACAATCTTGCAATGACAATTCGAATGAGTTCTTGAACAACCTTCAGACTTGGCGTTCACACCTGTAAAGTTTTGAGACGAGTTGATTTCATGATGAGATTCAAACATGGACTTGCACAAAGACTCAAGGGGTGAAACAATACCAGGTGTGAGAACTATTGATCTGTTTTTATTATTTATGTGGTTTCAAGTCTGAATGTCTCCATCCCATATATGCCTAAGAATGCCCTCTAGTTTATTTTGTAAACACGATAAAGTTCAGTGCAAGGTGGGATCACGTTTGTTATATGCAGGAATAGAACCCTGTGTTGGGTGTCTCATTTACCCAATTGCAGAATAAGTTCTCTCTCCCTGAGTCACATTTTTTCGATATTTACAGATAAGAAACTATGTTCGTCAGAGTATTTTAAACTTTCCATCTCTTCCAGAAGGGGGGACCAATTTTTAAGCTCCTTCTGGGCTCCCCGAACTCTAACAAGTTGGTTTCTGGTTTTGTGAATGTTTTTCCAGAGTATTTGAATTCTAAATCTGACTTTTTGAAGAATGCATGGGAGGAGCTGGGTTTGCAAATTGGGGATGATGACATGCATACATGACATGCATACAGTGGTTCAGTTAGATCATTTATGACTGCAGTCAACACAGATGTTATAGTTTTGTATGTTCAAGTAAGTTTTATTTTTATTTCATTTTGACATTTTGTTTCTAATTCTGCATAATTTCAATTTCCAGGGTGGATTTCCACGGTTGAGTTTCATTTTTATTGTGGGAAAATGTTTAGTTGAGTTTGGATCAGTTTCAGTGTTAGTTTTCTTTTGTTTGTTTGTTTTTAATCTTTTTAAATTTTACTGAATAGAGGGCAAACATCTGAGGCAAGATTTAGGAAAATGAGTACAGGTGTTACAATAAAAATATAGGTTTTGAAACCGTGGACTCACACTCTTGTAGACATGCCTATCAATGATTTGTCAGGGAAGTTATAATAATTACAAATACTAACTAAAACAACAGATATTACCTCTACAGTAGAATAGAAGTGTTTGAAGGTACAATTAAGAACCATTTTTATTTTAATTCTGTTTTAGTTTTCAAAGTTCACAAAAAAAGACACTCATGACACTTGTGTGATGCTTGAAATCATTTATTTACAATCAAGAAGGATTAGGAGGTCATTACTCGACAAGATGAGACAATAGTTGGCTCATTCATATGATGTGATACTTCAGAAAATATCAGATCTTCAATTTAGGTTAAAAGAACTTGTGGCGCCGTGGTGGTCGTAGCCACAGCTGTGTGGTTAAACCACAGGTGATACTGGACATAGTAGCCATCATTGTACATGTAGAGCTTCTGGTCAGCGGGATTGTAGTGCAGGTTTGAGTACTTCTCTTGGAACCTCTCAAAGGGAATACTGATGTAAGTTTCCTCTTTGGTTTTAGTGTCGTACTTGTAAAATATCTCTTCAGTGACGGTATCGATTGTCCTGACCGCATACAAAGTGCCACAAACCATGAAGGCATTGCTCACACCCGGCTTGTAGATACTAGTCTCCATTTCCTCCTCTATCCCAAAAGACGCCTCATTTATTTTAGCAATGACCATCCGACCGGCAGACTGCTGTGTGGCATAGGTCACCCACAGCCCGGTCTCATCGGCAGCAAAGTCAAAGTTCTGACCGGAAAAGTATGCATAAGAGAAGCCTGAACTAGCCTTGGGGATCACCCTGGACTCATATGCCATTGTGGTGAAATTCAATTTGGCTAACCCAAACGGGCTGTTGATCTGATAATACAGAGTGTTGTCACGGAAGATAAAATTGGTTCCTGTGCCACGCCAGCTGGTTTGTAAGCTGTGATGCTGAAAGTGGTTTCTTAAAATGAGGTTCTTGTAGTTAGTGTAGAACCTGATGTCAATAATGGAGGCACTTGTATACCCAGAGTACCAGTACATGGACTCTCTGTCTGGAATAGGTTTTGAATCTTTCCCCCATCCACCAAATTTGTAGCCAGCATTTAGATGGGCATTCAGTTGGCTTACTATGGGTTTGCTGAGCTTGGTGATACCAGTGTGTGCACATGAACCTGCAGAAGGAGACGAAAATTAGGTTGTAATCACAAAAACAGGGATTACAACTGGAATGACGGTATAAGTGAGCTTACCAATGTTGGGGTAGAAAAGCTCCTGGTGACGTCTCTCACACTCCTCTAGTTGCAGCTGCACCTTAAGGTATTCTCGGCGTGTCACCAGAATTAAATTCTTGTCGTAGGTCTTTTCCAGCCTGTTCAGGGTCTCCACCATGACTGTAATCTGAAAGATAACACAATGGATCTCCACTGCTTCTGCTGGCTTTTAAAACACCTTCAGCTCGGGACATACCTGCACACGCAGGGATTTAAGGACAGCAGTGGAGCCGTTGATGGAGAGCTGCAGGTCTATAATCAAGGCCTCCACTTGTTTAATCTCAATCTTTATCTCATTCTGTTCACTTTCACTGTAGCCATCAGGATTCTCCTCCATTTTTTCAATTTTTGCTGTGAGTTTTACGATCTTTTCTTCATATTCTGTCACTTTGATTTCATATTCCCCCAGCTGAAATTTAATTGGGAAAAAAACATTCAACAATGTTTTTTGTCACAATTATGCAATCTTTTAATGCACACGTTCCCTTGTGACTAAATACCTTGCCCATTTCCAGCCCCAGTTCACGTGAGATCTCCACTGCCGTCTGCTCTATCACCACCAGATCACCTACAGGAAAAGTTGAACCAGGCAGGAAGGCGTCACAGGAGCACCTTTCACCACCTCCACCTCCGGACTCATTTCTTGGATTCCCTTCACTCCACACGCTCCTCACTCCCTAAAAAGGAGTCAGATGGAAGAAATCGTCTCACCTAAATGTGTACGGAGCTTTAAAGAATAAAGATGAATCGCTTGATCTACGTCATGCCATGCGTACCTCCCAGGCAACCGTGGAGCTCAGCAGTGCTGAGAAATACAGAGTGACGATCATTCTGCTGCAGTCAGAGTGGTTATGACTGAGATAGGTGGATCATTTGAATTTATAGATCCTCCTCCATCATATCAGAGGACGCAGCACCTGTCTCAGTTCACAGAATTATTAGTTGAGGAACATGCCAGGATATAATGCTCGTTCTTATCTACAGCAAACAGAAATTAACGTCAGATGTTTGTTTACAATTATCCTCAAGAGTGTGGGCTCGCATGAGAACACCTTTCCCGAATACCATGATGAAATATTATGTTTCTGAAGAAGGCCCGTCCCACTCAGTGTCCTTAACTGCAAGGTGGCGAAGACATGACCGCTGATAACTTATTAAAGCAATAAATATAGATTTTTAGATAAGATTGATAATCAAATGTGTTATTTATTCATTTAAAAATATTGCATGACATAATAACCAAGGGAAAAACAAATCACATGTATAATATATCACGTAATACAGCATTATACAGTGTTCATGTCACTTGACCGTTACTGCAGGGTTCTTTGAAGCTTTGTCTGCATTCTTCTTCGGTTTCTTTTTCTTCATTTTCTTGGCTTTGACTTTACTTTTACCCTCTGACTGCTTTACATTGAGAGCGGGCCTGGATCTCGTCAGGCTGTTAGCAGTGGGGCTTAGCTTGCTGTGGCTCCTCTCTGGATCTGAGCGAACGCCCTGAGCAGAGATGGACTTGTCTGGAGCAGAGCGAGGGGAATCGGCCGACAGGTTTGGCTGGGAGTACGAACGCATCCCGGAGGAGCTGGTGGGACGGTAAGGCGTGGCGCCTCTTAACATGGGCAGGTGGATGTTGCTCATGTTAGTGACAGAGTAGCGGCTGCTGTTGGACATGACAATGTGGTGCCAAGAGCTGAGAGGGGTGGCGGAAAAGTGTTGCGGGCCACTCGAGTCTTCTTTGGCACCTCCTGGAGACATGACTATGGAGCTGTGAGGTGTCACCGCCTCCACAGCACTTTGGAAGGTTTTGAGAATGCGGTCACTCTTCTGCTTCTCTTTCTTCTGACGGGACTCAAATTTCCTAAGCTGGCGGCGGTGATCCCTCATCATTTGTTTCCTTGTATCTGCCAGTCCCCTGCACAGAATTGGTCAGATTATAGTATAAACATCACTGACTGCTTTTAGATTCATACGCCAACCAATTATCTACCTGTCTCTCCACAACTGCACTTTTCTGTGAAGCCTAACAACTTGAACAGCCTCTCCTACCTCACTAACAACGTCACTACAATTACTGCTTGGGTGTCCTTAATATTCTCTCAATTTCAATCTCGACAACTGAGGTTCTTGTGTTCGGACCTGACAGCTTCTCATTCCACTGGCTGAGTTAGAGTTAATTTCAAAATGTTAGTATTTATCTATGTGCAGTGTGGCAGAACAATGAGGCAGTGGTTAACACTGCATGATGGTCCTAGTTTGAACCTGTGTGTGGAATTTTTGCACGTTCACTGTACCCCAGATGAATTACATACAGTATAAAGCCCATCTTACCCAGGCTTCTGTATGCATGAGGATCTGCTTTAACCTTATTCCAGCAGTAACCTCCCTGATCATATGATCAGGGTCTTATAATTGTCATATTTATATATTTTATGCTCATATTTAAATCTAGAGGCGATCATGTTTTTGAGACTGTAGCTTCTAAACTTTGGTGCAACCTCCCTCAGCCTGTCAGGATGGTTGAATCTGTGGTCTGCTTTAAACAACTGCAGAAAAGGGTTAGCTTTTTCTTAAACCTATGATCATTACTTTTCATGTAGTTTATAAAACACCTATATAAAAATATGAATGTATAGACCACATGGTTTACCATCTGTTTGCATGTTGAGCTACGTGGACTTCTTTAACATGTGTTTTGATCCAAACTGTGGAAGAAAAGTTCCCATACAAGTTATTCTTAGCTTATGATTCTCTCTGTGCTATATTCATATACAACACTATCACTACTTCAGTGGAGCTTCTGCGATTAGTTTGGTGTGTCTGTCTGTTTGTCTGTTAGTAGGATTACTTAAAAAATGTGGTCAGATTTCTTTTCAGGCAGATTTGCAAAAAAGAAAAAACAACTTCTGTAGTAAATTATATATACAGTAGATCTGTGAATATTTGGAAAAAGCTTTCACCAGTGCGAGAGACAACCCAATATCCTAATATACCAGTCAAATAGACTTCTGCCGCAAGTGAGTGAACTTTTCAGGCTTGAAGAGGTTTTCAGCTACTCTTAGTTTTGATAGGGTCAGTTGAACTCAAGATCTGGGCAAATTCCCAGGCCATAACTAAGACACTCTATGCCCAGCTGTACTATCAGTAAACGAGAGATAAAAACAATCAAAATGTTAAAATGATAAGCTTTAACACGCCAAAGCTCCACCTTGTAACGTAAATATTGAAGCGTCAGATGTGAGTATATTTAGTCAGTATGGGAAATGCTCACCTGTAGTCCACCATTCCTGTCCTGTCCCGATCAAGTCTCTGAATCAGCTCCTCAATCTGGTATCGGTCCAAGGGAATGCTTGATTGCTTACAGTTTCACACAAAAGAGGAAAAGGGAATCAGTTTCATAGTTGCTCTCTTTATCACAGTAAACTCTCAGTGAAATGCACTGACTCTACACGGCTCCATATACAGTATCACAGTTTGTTTGGAAAACCTGAACTGCTTTCCTGAAGTCAGTAACAGACACTCTCATGATGCCATCTTTATCGATGTTTCGAAAGAAATCCCACAGCCGCAGTTTCCGTTGGTCCAGATAATCCTTCAGAAGCATTGGTAGAAGTGATTTTGACAATAATTAAATGCAGACCAACAAAACAAGTAAACATCAGAACAGCAAATATACTCTGAATAAAGAAAGAAAGAATAAAAATAAAGATATATTGTGTATATTTTCACAATAAAATTCATGCAGTATGTGTCAGATGCTCATTCAACCAACTGAGACAGACCTGAATGACTTTCATTGGATCAACACGTTTTGGTGGCTTCTTAGCCATGAAGCCTCCTACGCCTCCATACTGTACATCCAGACCAGGATGCTCCTGACACGTCACCTCCAATAGATGCACAAAGTGCTCATTTACCAGCACATTCTGTTCAGATAAAAGACAACATGATATACACACACACACACACATTTTGCTTCCTATGTCAAAAAAAAGGAAAAAATTACAACTTTGACTTAATATGAACACAAAATTGAACTGAAATCAGAGCAAAAATGAGTTGCTTAAAGAGAAAGTTCCCCTCATAATTACATATGTTTAAATCTGGCCTGTAGTGCAGTTTCTCTGTATAGACTTTTTAGATGAGAGTTGCTCAGTTTCAGTGGCACTGAATATTTCCAGAAATGACCTGGTTGTGAGCAGTTTCATTACTATTTTTTCTCCATAAAACAACACCTGCTGACTGCATAACTGTACAGAAGGAAGCGTGCATTTACCCATGACGAGAACCTGGTGATTGTGACAGCATGGCAGGATGTAAACGCTGATAATGCTTTCTGCTATGGTGTAATATCAACCAGCTGCATGTCTACATTAGATTATGTCGTTTGGTAGAAAGAAAAAAGGACGTCGTGCAAGAATTGCTCTGAATTGCTCTGAATTGCTCGGCTCTAATTGGGTCTTGATCTGTGGAAAGAAACATAACTGTGGGTTTTTCAGATGTATTATTTGAGTGCTTTGAGCATCACAAGTCAATTTCTATTAAATGTAGACACATCTCTACAACCAATAACTCAAGAACTGGAACATTTGCACCAGAAATCCGACTACAGGCCAGCAGAACAATATGTAAATTTGATTTGTGGATGCACTGTCCCTACAGCCTGTGGTAATCTGTCATGACATGGAGCAGAGCAGGATGCACTGCCACTCACACATATGTTGATCTCCTCCAAGGCAGCTTTAGGTGAGTTCTTCACCACGTTGACTAGAGCCAGTGCGCCCTCTACTGTCAAAGAGTTATAAGCCAACTAAAGAAATAGAAGACATTATCCGATATTTCACTTGAAGCCATGACTGTGATATACGTGACCCTAATGCAATTTCGTCCACCCACCGTCAGGACTCTGAGTGTGTCATTGAATTCAAGACCCCTGCACAGCATGCTGACGCCTTCATTGGTCAGGCGGTTATTGTTGAGGTTGAGATGCACCAGGGTGGTGTTGAATTTGAGGGCTTCTCCCATTGCCAGAGCACCTTCGTTCCCAAAACCGTTCCACGATAAGTCAAGGTGCTTTAACATCATATTCACCTAAATGGGAAGACTGTGATGAAATGCTGCACACAGAGTAACTAACAAATTTTGTTAATCAGCCCTACTTTTAACCCAGCGCAAAAAGCCACAGCTCCTTTCATTCTTAGATGATTCCAGCTGAGGTCCAGCACCTCCAGGCCCTCATTGTTTGCTGTAGAAACAAGAAAGCCAAGTCAGTGAAACAATACATCTATAATGCTATTAAGAACTAGTCTTAGACCTATTAAGACCTTTTACCATACCCAGCAGCTGTCCCAAATGTTCCCCTCCTTTTCCACAAAACTCATTATGGCTCAGATCCAGTACCTTTATCCTGGAATTGGTCTGAATGTAACAATATGTGACAGGTGCAAGTAGCAAAAGAACAATTTATGAATATAGAAATGACTAAAATGGGTTGTTATGTGTGAAAAAGCAGGACATAACTGATAACTTACTGACAGAGCATCTGCAAAATATTTAGCATCATCATCAGTAAATCCATTCCCTGCAGGGAAGAAAATGCATTCAAAACAATCATGAAAAAAAAAGATCACAATAATTATCGCTGTTAAATAGACAAACCAATCAGAAACTAACCTCGACTAACCTGTCAGGAAAAAGGCAACCCCGACACAACAAATGTAAGCTGACTGTTTGTGATGCCAGTCATCTGTCACGTAACAAGTTAAATGCATTGTCCCGTGCATATTACCTGAAAGCTTCACAGATTTTAACGAAATGCTGTCCAGCAACATTTTAGCCACATACTCAGCCCCAGCAGATTTCAGATGGTTGTGGGATATATCCTGCAAAAAATGTATTATTAAAACCAAACTTGATGTAGAGCTCTCAGATTTAGACCTGAAATACACTTGTGCCCTCCAGTGGTCAACCTGCAGTCTTACATACCAGGTGCTGAATGGTGAAATTTGCCCTCAACGTCTCCATGAGGTATTTGGCTCCCTCAGCTTGAATTGAATTGTCTGCCAGTGCCAGGGCGCTTATTTGCGTATCAGTCTAAATAAAACCTGATCATCAGTTTTCTATTTAAAAGTGCCTCATTGATTAACAGCTCTTAGATTTTAAACATACCACTAAAGCAATAGCAAGTGCCTTGCATCCCAAAGGTCCGAGCCCATGGTGGGAGAGTGTCACAGCTGGAGAGTCAAGGTTTCGAATAAAGTAAGAGACCGGCACCACACCTACCAGCTTGCAGGCCTGCATGTACACCTCAGCAGTGTCCATCTCCTTGTTGATCTTATTTCCTGCATATTATAAAAGTCATAAATTAATATAACTAATGTATAGATTTATAGTAACAACTACTAAATTACTTAGTATTTAAACAAGAACCTCAAGGATTATTCCATGATTGAATTTAATATGCTCACCATCTGATTCCAAGTCTTTGTCAAACTCATCGCCAAAGCTGTCGAGATCAGTTGGGGATGGACAGTTGTCATCGTCTTTTAAGCAGAGGGACTCAAATGACGGTATCGACATTACGGCCTGTCTTTAAAACTTGTCCTTTTTGAAACGTTCCCACTCACAAGCATCAGGCTGTGATGTGCCTGGTAAGAACAGGGCCTGTGAAATGAAAGGGGCCAGTACTATGCCCCGGGTAATTCTAGCCCTCAGGTTGTGTGTCTTGTGTCGTTAACAATTTATGCATCACTCGGGTTACAATCGTAAGCAAAAACTACAGTTATAGTGTGCTGTAATTTAATTCATCCAATGTTATTTATTAGTACCATCTCCCACATTTACAAAATTCAACACATGACTGTCACAAGCAAAGTATGATACGTGTGCAGAAGAAGTTTCATAAAAATGTCATTTGATCTTCTTAATTGAAATTGTGACAATCCATCAGTTTGATGGAAGAAAGTGTATGTTTATGAGCAAATGCTAACGCTAACAGATAGAGCTACCAGTCGCTGCACCGTTGAAGTGTTAATATATAAAGAATTTACTGGGTCAATACTGGAGTTATTTAGCAAAAAGAAAATTGACTGCATTTCCACTGTAATGATTACTAACTGGTGTTATATGTAAGCTTTACTCCTTCTAGAAAATATGGAGCATTCACAGCCATTATAATGCTGAAAACATCATGAAATAAATGCACTTATTCAAGAATTCACCAGTGATAGAGAAACAAGGATTAATTCATTCATTATGTCAGAGATTTATGGATTTCCACACAAGAATTGGCCAATTTCTGAATGACTGTGGGCAAGTGCAGCGCTGAGGTCTAGATGCCAGCAGATATGAGACAGCAAGCTGAGAAGGAAATTTAGTTAATCGTTTAAATTTACTAGTCAACACAAGTTTCAGTTTATATGAAGATTTAAGGAGGAAAATCCATCTTTGAAACAGGTTTCAGTTCAAATATACATGTAGTGTAGGTAGTCTCTAAACAGCTTAGAAATGAGTTTTTTTAGATTACTGTAAACACGTAGTAAAGGCTCATAATCAAGGGAACAGGGGGGGAAAGGCACAAAGTTTTAGAAACTTGCTAGGAGCAAGTGAAAGCTTTACTAATGGTTGAAGCTGTAACTTCTACATCCTGAATTTGGCACCAAATGGATCATTAAATAACAACAGTAACCTAGCATTGTGTTTCAGCCCACGCCAGGCTGCAGAGTGCAGCTGTCTTCATTATGTTAAAAATGAATCTTTATCTTTGAACAGGAACTTGTTACTTTGTTAAATACATGTGTTTAAAAAACATGCATTAACAGTACAAACAATGAAACCTTTATTGTTTAATAAAATGTAAACAAAAAAAACCCTAAATTAATTTAAATGTTATTGAGTGAATATGGTGAAGAAAAGTCCAAATGTATTATTTTTGAGGGTGTCGAATCTCAGGATGCTATTTTTTTTTTCATATACAAATATATGCGTTTTAAGGAGTTTGTCACGGCTGGGATAGCTGTTTGCAGAAGGAGGACTCGAGTTGCAGACATGAGAATTCCAAAGTAAACTGAACTGGGAAAGCCAGTAAGCTGACCTAAAAACATAACACAAAGGGAAGACATGAGGCGAGAAACAGAGAGACACGGAGAAACACTTAAATAACACAGACGAACCGACGATGAGCACAGACCGACACCCACACACACACACACACACACAAGGTAATTAGGAAATGACACAGAGGGGGGAAGCACAGCTGATCCTAATCACAAGATGACGGGGAAACACAAGCTAAACACAGTTAAGTCACACACGGATCTACAAAGTAAAACAGGAAGTTTCCAGACAGAATACAAAATCAGAATAAAACTGGAACACGAGAAAAATAATCAAAACAAAACCACTGCGTGTGCAGACTCAGGACCATGATAGTTACTTAAATACAATGAAACTATAATCTTTTTCATGTTTATTCAGAATAAAATTGTTCATTTAAAAATTAAATACCGTATAAAAGCTTCTAATCTACTGGTTGTGAAACAGAGGCTTCTCTATTGGGTTTTGGAGGTGAACATAGGCCTCAAAACACACAACAAAGGATAAAGGGAGACTGACACAGATGTAGCTGGCAATGGAACAACAGGTGGGAAGACAGCTGAAACTAATCACAGATTAAAGAGACAGGGGAACCAAAACTGAACAAAACACACAGGGGAAAAGGGAATATTAAACAGGATACCTGGCAAACATTAACAAAAAAGAATATTTAACAATATCCAGAATACATTTAAGCTGGAATCACTGCCTCGTGGTTCTTTGCATCAGCCAAATTGTTAAGCTGTGGTTTAAATTCTTGTCTGTCGAATCATGTCTAGAGTCACTTCTGGCCAAATACCAAATGGCATTTATGTCATCAATGAAGCCGAGACAACATTTATCCTAGATTAACACTGTAGGACCTCTACCTTGCAATTTGAAGCAATAGAGATGAGTTTTTGACAGTTAAGCGGTGCTAAATGAAAATAAAATAAAAATGAAATAAATAAAACTGAACAGATCTAAAGGTGTTCCCGTAATTTGGGTTTTATGATATTATACAGAAAGCTCCCGTTTGCAAAAAACCGAAGTGCGATACAAATAATATGTAATGAACTGAGAGCATGTCCGCGATGTCACATGCGTAATATATGGCCTGAGGATGTTATTCAAATAACTTATAGATTGTGCTGAGAAACGGTAACGTTCACACAGAAAATCATCAGGAAATGATAAAATGTCCAAACGCGATCTGATCACTCTCTCCCGGCGGAGAGCTCTGCGGAGAATTTGGGCTTCACGATCTACCGGCTCTTCAAGGAAGGAGCACGCCATGTCTGACACTTCCTACTGTCAGGTTTCCGACAAAGGGGCGGGGTCAGTCAGGGTTAGTTGTGGTAAACCTGCTAGGGGGCAGGTTAGCTTCACGGCGTGTGTCGTCATAGTGACTCACTCAGGCTGCAGCTGAACTCGCTTTGTGAAACCGAAAAACCAGCGTTTTCGTTAACTCAGGGTATACTTACTCAGTTTTTCCACTAAACCAGCTTCCTGAAACAGGGCCCTGATTATCGCAAAGTAACAACTGAAAGTAACGCACTGGAAAAACAAAACAAAAAATGTGACTTTTGCCTTCAGGCCCTCCCACAGCTATCACCAAATTCGGAGTGCGCATGCGTTGATTTTTGTACCGCAACATGATTGGCAGTCTGATGTTATATGTGCTCTACTATTTATCACGGTACCTGACCGTTCGACCCTCAGGTAAATCTAACAGTGGATTTGCAAACGTGTCTGAACTTATGATTGTCGGCTGAGCAAATACGGACTGAAAAAAAAAACTACGTATGTATTTCCTCAGACATGCTGCCTGGAGCTAATAGTGCTAAAGTTTAGTTAGCACTTTTCTTGCTGTCTGCTTCACCGGCATGAGGTTTTTGGTAATGTTTCCCGTTATAAGCTCAGTGTGACACACGTTGTGGTGTCCCCAATTTGCCAAAAGTTTCCTCTTTGTGAAAACGGTAACGAAGAACATATTTAGCTGTTGCAGTGTAGCTAACTTTGTGAAGTGCTACATGAGTTAGCTTGCACCTGTTCTTGAGGTCTTGACGCCCCCTTGTGACGCAAAGACGCTATCACATGACTTTTATGGTGTTGTTTATGTTCCGTAAGCACGTCTGTGTTTTCATGGGTTGTCGTTGACCTCTTAAAGTAAAAGGTTTAGTAACTTTTAGCATACCTGCTTTCTTACTGTATTCTTGGCTTACAGAGGCCTCAAAAAAGGGCCTCCCTCCTGCCGTGGTTAATGACAAAGCTGCGTGGGATGCCAAAACCCGGAGGTTCACCGATTTGCAGACAGAGCATCAGGAGCAGCGGCTCCGCCCAACCGGTGGTTCGAAGGGAGAAACGAAAGAAAGGGTAAAAGATCCAAGCCCGGAAGAGGAAAAAACTACAAGGAGCAACATGGACAAAGAACCTCCAACGGCTGTCCCGGATAAAGATACAATGAGTGACGGAAACTCAAACATTACTTCAGAAGTACCATCTGAAGTAAAAGAGGAAGAAGCTGGGAAGAGACATGGAGCAAATCAGGAGAACCTTCAAGATTCAAAACAGGAGGATAGAGAAATAATTACCCACCATAAGGTGCTGCATATGGATGCAGAGAATGGGGGAATCTCACCAGCAAAGGAGACGATGCCAGAGCAAGCACTCGAGGAACAGTTAAAGTGTCTGCAGACAGAGGACAGCATAAAAGATACTGCATCTCAAGTACAGAAACAAGCCATGGGAGAGTCTGGATCTCCAGCTAAGAAGAGCACACCGGAAATGACCAGCTCAGCAGAAGACCAAATCCAAATACCATACATGGAAAAGTTAGAGACTACTTTTGAAGAGTGCTGGGATGAATACATAGTCCCAGCTGCAGATGAGCCACATGATGGAGTCAGCATTTCCGAGACGGTGTTTCCCTCCCTTCTCTCTCATCCTCAGGCCCACTTTAAGCTCAGTGAGCAGCACCATGCACAAACCAGCTGGCACTTCCCTGCAGGACCTGGTCTCACAGAAGAGGTGCAGTGCCCACTTATAACTTTTCCTTCTATGAGCTATTACCCTCCTGTAGAGCCAGCACTTCCCTTGGAAGGTGAGGATGAAGGCTATATTTTGTTTTTAATTTAATATTTTTACTTTTTTTAAAAAACTAATTTACAGTTCAGTAACCCGCTCCATGTATATCTGTCCTTCTTCCAGTGATGTGGAGAGTCTGGGTAGAGATGGATGAGAGTGCTGCTTCAGCAGAGCCTGCCCTCATACCCTTCACAAATGCCACTATGGACTTCACTGTAATGTCCTACAACATCCTTGCTCAGGACTTACTAGAAGCCAACCAGCAACTGTACACACACTGCCCCCTGGAGGTGCTGGATTGGCATTACCGATGTAACCTGCTTTTAAAGGAAATAGAACAATGGCTACCAGACGTGAGTCATGTCAAATTCATGTTTCTGAAATTTAACCTGCAAAATTTTCTGTCTAATGTTAGGTGTCTGCTAATACTCTGTGTGTAGATTTTGTGTCTTCAAGAGGTTCAGGAGAACCACTACCATGAACAGCTGCATCCTGCCCTGTCTCAGATGGGTAGGTCAGCTGAGACAAAACAGTGGAAGAGTCATGTTGGGGGATGTTTTGACAAAGACGTTACACATATTCTGTTCATGTTGTTGATCCAGGCTACACTTGTGTGTACAAGAGGCGTACGGGAACCAAGACAGATGGATGTGCTACTTGCTTTCGTAGCAGCTTCTCTCAAGTGGCTGCCACTCACCTGGAGTTCTTCAAGCCTGAGACGGAGCTGTTAGACCGGCACAATGTGGGCATTGTTTTGCTTCTTCGGCCACTGGTCAACCGGGGTTCACAAGTGAAGGGGGTGGGCTCGCCGCTCTGTGTAGCCAACACCCACCTGCTTTTCAACCCCAGGAGGGGGGACGTGAAGTTGGCTCAGTTAGCAATATTGCTGGCTGAAATTGACAGCGTGATCAAGTCCTGTAAGGCTAAAGGTGAACACTGTAACGTAATAATGTGTGGAGACTTTAACTCTGTCCCACACATGCCTCTGTACCAGCTGATCACTACCAGCCAACTCCACTACCAAAACCTGCCAGCATGGATGGTAAGAAAATATAAACTAATTAAGTAACACCTTGTCTCGATTTTTATTTATGCATGCCTCAGTAAGAGTTTCTGTATTCACTGACAGGTATCAGGTCAAGAAGATCTGTCATATAAGGCCAATTGCCACAGACTGTTGGCGCCACTTTGGCCCAGCTCTCTGGGAATCACTGGCAGCTGCCAGTACACTATTGCCAATGAGATATTTGAGAGACAGAAATCAGGTCAGGTTAAGTCAAGCGCACTGTTACTATAGTAATATTAATCCATAGTGCATGTCTTATTCTTCAGTGGTATCTTTTCTCCATAATTTCTATTGATGCTTGATGATTTCTTCCTCTTGTGTAGGGAAATGTCAGTACAGCCACGACTTCATGCTGCAGCTGCGCTACTGTCCAGCTGCTTGTGTCCGTCCTCGGGGCCTGGAAGAGATTCCGGGGGTGACTGACATCACACCAGGTAGTACAAAAATACAATACAGAAACTGCACTCGCATTTTCATTGAAAGCTCCTGATTTCCTTACTATGATATGTCGATTCTCTGTTCATTTTTTTCTTATTGTGCACAGATGCTTCAAGGGCAAATCATCTTGATGATAAAAGGTCAGTTTA